AGCTGCGTTGGTTGAGGTCGCTGCGTCTTGCTCGTGTCGTCTCCTCATGCACCAGACTCTCCTCTGGCACCACCGTCTTGGCCACCCCTCCTTACCACGCCTTCGTGGCATGCACTCCCGTCTCCTTGTCTCTGGGCTTCCCAGGTCCCTGCCCCCGCTCCCGAGGTCGCTTGTGCCGCCGTGCCTTCCCTGTGTCGAGGGGCGGAAGCGCACTGCTCCTCACTCCTCGTCGTTTCCTCCGACCACAGCTCCTCTGCAGACCCTCCACATGGACGTGTGGGGTCCAGCCCGAGTCCCTGGACAGGGCGGAGAGCGCTACTTCTTGCTAGTTGTAGACGACTACACGCGCTACACCACGGTCTTCCCCTTGCAGAGCAAGGCGGAGGTCCAAAGTGTCCTGATCCGCTGGATCCGTGCTGTCCATCGCCAGCTCAATGCTCGGTTTCAGCACGACCTCCTGGTCCTGCGACTGCACTCTGACCGAAGTGGTGAGTTTTTGTCCAGCCTTCTCGAGGACTTCTGTGGTGCTAAGGGCATCTACCAGACGTTCACGCTCCGGCCTCTCCACAACTGAATGGGATTGCAGAGTGTCGCTTTGGCTTGGTGATGGAGGCTGCTCGCACCTCCATCGTCCATGCGGCTGCTCCCCATTTTCTGTGGCCATTTGCGGTCCGATACGCTGTTGAGCAACGCAACCCTGGCCCCGTGTCTCCCACCCGGAGACCTTTTTTCACCACTGCGGTGGACGGGCAAGGTTGGTGATGCGTTGCCGTTTCGGGTCTAGGGTGCCCTTTCGCTTGTTCGCGACCCCCCCGCGAGGAAGCTCTCTCCCGGCACTCTTCGCTGCGTCTTCCCTGGCTTCCCTACCGACGCCCCGGGCGGGCAGTTTTACCACCCGGGTTCTCGTCGTGTCCTCTCCTCCCAAGACGCCACTTTTGACGAGTCTGTCTGCTTCTACCGTCTCCACCCCCACCGCAGTTCCCCCGTGCCCCTCCCGCCTCTCGCATTGGTCTCCGACCCCCCCCCCCCCCCCCCCCCCCCCCCGGGTAGCCCCACTCCCCCCGCAGGGTTCTGCTCCCTAAGGTGTGTCTCAGGTTGACCCATCCCCCTTGGTTGAGCCAGTCGAGGTCTCCTCTGACACCTCTGGCCCAGCTGAGGGGGTTGACCCGACTCCTGCTATCACCGTGACCCCTCGCCGCTCCCCGCGCTTGGCGGCCCCTCCTAGGTTTCCGCCTCGACCGTCTTCACCGCCATTGCAGTCTGTCGCTGTGGAATCTGGAGCTGCAGGTCGTGGTGCCACTGGGGGTGCGGACTCTGGGGGTGCTGGTTCTAGGGGTGCTGAGTGTCCTCTGGGTACAGGAGGTACTGGAGGTGCTGGTGCTGGTAGTCCTGGTACAAGTCGGCAGGAGGCTCTCTCGCCGGAGCGGCTTCGCGAGTGGGCTGTCCAGTGGGGCAACCCTGGTGGTGGAGCTAGCCGTCTTCGAGCAGGAGGTATTGGAACTGCTAGAGCTGGAGTTTTTGCTACTTGTGGTACTGGGGCTGCTAGTGCTGGAGGCGCTGGGACACGTCAGCAGGAGACTCTCTCGCCGGAGTGGCTTTGCGAGTGGGCAGTACAGTCGGGCAGCCCTAGTGGTGGAGCTAGCCGTGCTCGTACTGCTAGAGCTGGAGGTATTGGGACTACTGGTGCTACTGGAGGTACTGGAGGTGCTGCTGCTGTGGGTGATGCTGCGGGCAGTCCTGGTGGTGGCGCTGGACGTGATGGAGCTGCTGGCCCTGGAGGTGCTAGTGCTGGTGTTCCTAGAGTTGGCCGTACTAGAGGTACTGGTACTGGAGGCACAGGCGCTACTGGATGTTCCGGAGGTGCTGGCCGTGGAGGTGCTAGTGCTGGTGTTCTTGGCGTTGGTTGTGCTGGAGGTACTGGTACTGGAGGTTCAGGTGCTACTGGGGGTACTGGAGTGTCAGCGGTCCACTGGAGATCCCTGATTGATTATAGGGAAGGGTTACAGGCACGTTGGCCTGAGGGGGTTATGGGCGCACTCACCCGCTACATAAACAATCCCTTTTTATCACAGTGGTTAGTGGTTGGGATTCTGACAAGTTATCAGAGCGAAGGTCTCGGGTCCGAATCTTGGTGTGTGCACCTTAAGCATCCCAGTGCGGGGGGGGGTCAGAGGTCCACTGGAGATCCCCGATTGATCCTAGGGAAGGGTTACAGGCACGTTGGCCTGGGGGGTTATGGACACACTCACCCGCTACACAAAATGCCCCTTTATCCCAGTGGTTAGTGGTTGGGATTCTGACATGGAGGTGCTGGCCCTGTAGGTGCTAGTGCCATTGTTCCGCGAGTTGGGGGTACTGGTGGTGCTGACACTGGACGATGCTACTGGAGGTACTCGAGTTGGAGGTGCTAGTCGGCAGGAGTCGCTCTCGCCGCAGCAGCTTCACGAGTGGGCGGTCCGTTGGGGCAGTCCCGGCGGTGGAGCTGGAGGTACTGGTTCTGGGGGTGTAGTTGCTACCGGAGCTGGAGGTTCTGGGGGTGCGACTACTCAGCCGCAGCAGTCTGCGCTTCGTCACCTTCTCAGTCTCCCGCCTGCTGCTACTGAGTTCCCGGTTGCTGGTTCTACTCTTCCGTTACTGTTCCCACCGACTGTCCAGTCTCAGCCACAGCTACTATCTGGTTCCCCACTACCTGCTCCTGCTCCTCACACTGCGGTGACAGAGTCCTTCACTGAGCGTCGAGAGTCTGCGTCGCATCCTGTCACGCCTGTCCGTTCTCGCCGTGCTATGCGTCCTCGTCCTCCACCTGTCCCTGGCACACACATCATGGCACTTCGTCCTTCCTTTGTTCCACAAAGCGTTGTCCTGCCACCTCCTCCTGCGTCTTCTCTTCCTCACGTTCCTGACCCTGAGTCAGACCTTGTCCGTACTACGAAACCGACTGTCACTCATCTTCTTGCCACGGTTGTGACTGACCCTTCCTTAAGGTCTGCTGCGTCGTCTGCCTTAGTTGCTGAGCTTGTTGACTTTGCTGCTTTGTGCCGCCTTGACTACGCTGCGAGTCTTGTTTTTTACTATTCATGTCCTTCGTCCGTCGGGGGTGAGCTTGCCAGGCCCTCAGATATCAGCGTAAAACACGCTGATTAGGCTGATTTTGTCGCTGTGATTTTCGTTTTCCCTGAAATTTCAGTATCTTCTTTATTTTTGAACTGATTTTTCAGTTTAAAGTCTAGGACTACCCTGACGAATTAGTGTATTGGTGTACCAGTTACACTGAACCATCAGTATAGTGTACCGAGTCACACTGATTCGGACTTACCAAAATGCATAGGGGACAGGATAAGGGTGCGCGGACGTGGGGTTTTAGGTCGAAAATCACTGCCACGCACTGGCAAATCTCTCACTCAAAGACTTGAAACCGTGACCTCTTTAATAACAGACAAAGCCTTGGACAGCTACGTTATAAATACTGGTTATGATGACAAAACATAATGTATACATTAGAAAATCAGTTAGCCATGAAATTTTACCCTGACAAAACCAGCTTAAACTTCACCCCCAACGCTGATTTGGTCACTACTTTGGCCAGGGCACGCTGATCCATCAGCATGCCCTGAAACCAATCTGAGGGCCTGGAGCTTGCCCTTGGCTGTGATGTTCATGAGGACAGGCAATTTGAGCTGGAGTGCCTAGCGGCCGCTGCACCTCATCTCGCGTCCACGCGATATTTCAAGTTGGGATGGGGTGAACTACTACCAGTTTAGAACACGGAACAAACCAACACTTCGACCGTCATAACCTTTACAAAGTTACCGTAGTTTGAGTTTTCAAGTGGGCCCACTAGAAGGGGGGGGGTCACTATTTTAGCCGTAGGCTTTGAGTTTTACAGCTAACGCTGAAAGTTGAGCCTAAAAAACTTTGAGTTGTCTGATTTTTCAGCCTAAACTTTTGGGGCCACGCTGACTCACAGAGTTTTAACAGGGGTGCACGCTGATCGATCAGCGTGCCTCAAAACGAATCTAGGGGCCTGGTCCTGGTGGGAGGGGAGGGCAGACAGCGACAGTGACAGGAGGGGAGTCAGAACACGTTTTCAAGTTGGATCTGCCTTCACTAGTTAAGACCCTCGTTTTACTGTGTAGGGTGGTGGATGCATGTACAAGAATTCTTAGCTTAACTTCATCCCAGCGACCAATCAAACAGCCAAGCCAGGGCCCAAAATATCAGGGTAAAACGCCCTGATTACCCTGGGGGCCGGCCGTTTTTTCAGGATTACCCTGCCAAAATCAGGAATGCGAATTAGTTGCCCTTCTCTTAAAAGAACATGTTTTTTTTTACCCTGACTGGTTTTAAGGTTAGGCTGACGGAATCAGGGTGTGGTGTACACTACCCTTTTACCGAAACTTTTCTAACGCGAATCAGACCACAGTCCGCTTTGTGACAAAATGTACCACACCCCCACAAACACCGGTTGTCGCTTGTGCCCACGCGCAAAACAATGCCTCGCTGTCGGCAACGCGCCATGTTGCTTCTTTTGTTGTTTCTCCCGCAGGGCTGCCAACTCATTCTCGAATCTTGCCACCCGTCGCCACGCCCACCGCCAACACAGCAGAATTTGCTGTCAAGGACAGCTTCAAGCTGTCCTTGACAACAGAATGCAGCAGCAGTCCTGCCGTGCTGGCCATACACTTCCCGCCTCGTGGAAGAAACGGCCCTTGAGAGGCAGCCAGGGGGTGTGTAGTTCATGTGTGACTTTTGTAGAGTGAATGGACTTTGGGTGTATTACTTTATTTCTGATTTTATTAAAACCGTAGCTCACAAAACTGCAACCAAAACAGAATTGGCCCGAAAATACCCTGCTCAAATCAGCCTAGTGCCAGAGTTACCCTGCTGAAATCAGGCTACGGAAAATTCTACCCTAGGGGTCTGTTCTAGGAGGGGCTGGTACCCTGATTTGTAAGAGTAGGCCTAAACCAATTTTGGGCCCTGAGCCAAGCCATTCAAATCTACGCATCTATTTTCAATCCGTACATGCTCCGGAGCCCATACGGCTTTACGTCCCAGTGATTGCACTCATAGTTCCACTCCCCGCGCACATGCTTTGCGCTGCAGTTCTTAATTCCCAAGTACTGCAGCATTTTCAGCTCCGTGAGGCCCTCTGGCAGACCCTGCAGCCGTAGACAGCCATGCAAGCTAAGACTGCGCAGCCGGGTCAATTGCGAAATCCCTGAAGGAAGGCTGCGCAGGCCGGTGTTTTCCACATGCAGCTGGTGGAGGCATGAGAGCTGGGTGAGGGAAGCAGGCAGGTGGTGCAGGGCGGGGCAGTCAAAGAGGTGCAGCTGGCGCAGGCGGGATGCAGCGCCAATGCTGTCCGGCAGCTCCCTCAATTCCCGCGCACAGTGGATCTGCAGAACCCTCAGCTGCGGCACAGCCCATCCCATGTCGCTTGGAAGCCGCTGCATCTTCCCCGCGTTCCACATGACCAGCGTGTGCAGCTGGGGGAGCAGCGCAAGGGAGAAGGGCAGCTCCACAGCCTCCTCCTGCAGCGCCAGCTCCACCTGCTTCACGCGCGCCAAGCTGCTGCCCACAGCCATCCTCTCCTCCGCACCAACCAGCTTCAAGGAGAGCTTTCTCAGCCAAGGCAGCACGGAGACGTCTGGCAGATCAGCCACGTGGTAGCTGTTTCCAAGACTCAAGACCTCGAGGGAGAGCGGCAGAGACGCAGGAGGCCCAGTCTGATCATAACAGCCAGTCAGCTCCAGCCATTTGAGCCTCCCAAGGCTGTCTAGCCTCCTGGGAACCGAGACGAGCTTCAGACAGTCATCAACCGTAAGGGTTTCAAGGCGTGAGAGGCTTGTGAGGGACTCTGGAAGCCGCTGAATTCGAGGGCAGGAGCGAATGTGCAACTCGTGCAGGTTAGTGAGGTTCCCGAAGTCCTCGGGCAGCTCTTGAATCGTGCACGCGGCCAGTTCAAGCCTGGTCAATGAAGTCAGCTGGGTGAAGGAGAGTGGCAGTCGCGGCTGCTGGTTCTGGCCGTTCAAATACAGAGTGTGCAGCCGTGGGAGCTCTCCAATATTATCCGGCAGCCTCACCCGAGGCATCTTCACAATGGCGAGGGTTTGGAGTGACGTGAGGCAGCAGAAATCTGCGGGCAGCTGGAGGGCCTGCGGGCTGGAGATGCTTCCAATGAGGACGAATGTCTCGAGGGAAGGCAGGTGGCAGAGGGCGTCCGGGAGGGCCATGAGAGGCAGATTGTGCAGCACGAGAGTTCTCAGGGCAAGCAGGCAGCCGATACCCTCCGGCAGGTCGTAATAACCCCAAAAAATGTCTCTTTGGTAACATTCTGTAAATGTCAAGCTCTCCAAGAGAGTTAGAGAAGCGAAGCTGAGTGCAATTGGCCTAGGGTCATCATACTCCAGACTCTGGCGAATGGTCAGCTTGCGGAGCCTCGGCATCAGCTCTGCGAGTTGAAAGGTCGGCGTAACGGATCTAGGACGCTCCATAACAATCTCAAGCCGTTCTAGGGCGGCACACGGGACCGCCTTCCTGAGCCTTGACGACTTGAGCAGACCCAGCTGCGTGGTGTCGAAATCGGCAAACACCACGGAAGACGGCTTGAGCAGAGGCAGCTGTGCCATGTTGAAGTCTGCAGAGACGAGGGAATCGCGGTGAAATGCCACGGCTTCATCTGAGTCCGAGAAGGTGGTGATGCGTGAGCGGCGAACGATGTTTGCCACTTCATCCAAGACATTTTTGGAGGCAATGTGCAGGGTGGTGAGAGATGTAAGGCTGGCAAAACCCAGAGTTTCGAGCGAGGAAGCATGTGTGAGCGCGAGAGTGTGCAGATGCGGCAGCTGAAAGAAGGACGCGGGGAATCTGACACAACGGTCGAGGCAGTAAAGTGAAAGCTGCTCTAGCCGAGTGCAGTGCCGGAAAAATAAATCCAGACCAGCGGTTGTTATAGGTAGCGCGTCCTTCTCGCATATACGGCCATAATAACCTTTACACTTCACAGGCGCGATTCTGGTTCCGACGTGGAGGATGGCGAGGTTGGGACATGACGACGCGAGGTGAGCGAGGAAGGCGTCGTCGAGAGTCTCGACGCTGCCGTCGCAGAGGTGAAGATGGGTCAGGTTCGGTAAGGCAGCGACAGCACTCGCGAGAGCCTGGCGAGACACGACGAGATTGTCTCGGACGAGAAGCGCGGAGACGGAACGCTGAGTCAGACAGCGCCAGCGACAGCAGACGGCCGCGACGAGGAGAATACGGTGCGCGTCCGCAGAGGGAGGAGGAATGGGTAACGGAGTCTTCTTTTCCTGACGAATGGCATTCTCGTTTGAAAGGTTTGCAGAGAGGTACTTTGGGGCGGGAATCGAGGAGTCTGAGTCCCACAAGCAGTCGCTGCCCGTTTGTCTAGGAATCGGCTGCTCAGTGTGCCAGAAGATCTTAATAAGAATGTCGTCAGGAAGGCCATGGATGTGCGTGGGTGGCTCCATAGTATGGTCAAGGTTGATCAGTGCGTACTAGAAGCTACGTTGAAAGTATAATTTTACGAATGGGACTGAAGATTGCAGGATAGTCGATGACGAGCTATAGAGCTATGGCACGATGGTGGCTGGCTGGATGACTGACTGTTTCCTGGCGGACAGCATGAGCCGTGCATAGCACTGGATGGAAATGGGGGAAAACGGAATGGGACATGACTCCAGAGAGAACCACTAGCGTAGCGTGGAGATCACGGTGTTCGCCGAACCAAATTCGGCCCAGGTTCGGACGAAAGCAAATGAGCACCAGACCAAAGACCGTCGCTCAATGGAGTCTTCTCAGTGTATTGAAATTCTCGCTCTTCTCCTCAACGCTTAGGACCAGACCCTGGCCCTGTTCGGTGGCCTTCCAGTCACACTGGGCCCACTCCTTGGGGAAGCCTGCGACATGTTTCGTAGCCTCGGGCGTCCACTCACACTGAAAGGAAGTCTCGTCCACAAATGCAAGAAGTTAACGTGTGTTTCTCGAGAAATTACTGGCCGAAACTTTTACTTCTGTACGAGGCTGCCCAGCTCACAAACAAAAAACAGCCCGCGAAATGAAACACCCTCGATATGGATAAAAGAAAATCACGAACGGGCACGGTCTCTCATCGTTTAAATGAGCGGGCTGAAAAACATAATTTGACCCGATTCGAAACTAATGCAGCGTTTACCCTACAGCGTGCCACTCAGAGCGGGCCTGCCTGAGTGGAACTGGAAAGCAGAAATGGGGTTGACTTTCACTGGCGGTCGAGCTTGCCTGAGCAAGCATTTTCGTGGTAGCGTCCTCAACTTCACTCGGACTAGGTTTTTCACGCGTTCGGTAGCCAACTTGCACTGGGCAGGTATGGTGTTCTAATAACGCTTTGGTGGGCTTTAAGGTGAGTCGAAATTGGGCCGAGGAAGAGCACCTGCACCAACCGCAGTGTGACTAGGGGGGCTACCGAACAGGGCCCCTATGTTGTGATATTGTAAGGAAATTTCCTTTTCCTTACTTCGCGTCCCTACTCAGCGCGTATACCACTGTTCCCGCCAACAGCACCCAACAGTAATCCGTTACCACTCGCGACACTCGCCTCGACACTGTTCCCGCCACTGTTCACGACGCGACCCAACCTCACGGTTCGGTTGGTAACCCGCGCTCCGGACCTCCGCCTCGACAATTCCCAACCTCGGCGCTAGGCCCGCCGCGCACCCCATTTTACACACATTACCGTTACCACTGTAGCTTCGCTATATATTTTTCGCGCATACCTTCGCTCATTGTACTCTTGCTTCGATTGTGCAATTCCCGCTCGCTCGCTCATTCAATTGCACTCGTAACACTTGGTATTCAGAGCCTACGATCTCTTCTCGGACCGCACCCACACCTTCGCTTCCCCACTTTCCCATTTTTTGGGGGGGGTAGACGTCTCTCAGCGAAATAAGCACCGCCGCTCAAAGTGCTCTCTCGTAAGCACGCATGGCCACGACAGAGGCTCTCACTGAGCTTGCCTGACACCCCCGCCATGGCCGAATTCACTCTCGCGACACTGACGCAGGAGCAACTCGACCGTCTCGTGCGCGAACTCGAAGATTCGGCGCTCGAAATTGCGACCCTCACAGTGGAACGCGACTCCGCTCGTCAGGAGTCCACGGTAAATGCTCCAGCACCACCACAAGCTCCTGCAAATGCACCTACACAATCGGAGGAGCCGATCGTCATCTCATCAGGCACACCGATACAAAACGACAGCGTGGGACAGCGCTCAGGCACAGCTAGTGATGGCGCCGCTCAATCAATGCCTGGCATGGAGAGGAACAGGGTCGCGCCAAGCCCGCGGGAGCCTCGCGAAGCCCGTCGGCACGTGGAGTTTGCATCAACGAGTGGCGACCACGCCATCATGGCACCAATGCCACTCAAGCCGCAGCGCCCGCCCTGTTTCGACCCGAGCCAGCGTGGAGGTCCGACAGTTCAATCGTGGGTCTTCACGATGAATGTCTTCTTCGACGCGAATCATGTCGAGTCGGACGCAGCGAAGATTCGCTATGCGGTCTCACTGTTGAGGGGCCCCGCCATGGACTGGTGGCGAGTCATCGTGACGTCGCCACGCGCCTACGAGCCGCCGTCGCAAGAGGAAGGGCCCACGGGCCCAGCCGTTACCTTGAGCTCGTTGTGCGAAACCGCCCGGTACAGCACGTGGGATGCGTGGTGCGCAGGTTTTCGGGCGCGCTTCGAGCCGATCGCGGCCTCTATTTCAGCGCGTCAGAGACTGCGTACTTGGCGGCAGCTTGGATCGGTTCAAGATTACACGAGCTGTTTTCTCGCATTATGCGAGCAGGTCGGCTACATGCACGAAGCGGAGCGGGTGGACCGTTACGTCGGAGGGCTGAAGCCGGACATCTCGCACAAAGTCATGCTACGTGGGCTCTAGAATTTTAACGAGATCCTCGCGCTCGCCGAGAAAATCGACAATTTGCACCGTCTGTCAAACTCATATTATATAGCTTGTGTAGGCTATAGTGGGGTCGACACTATGGGGTACAGTTTCCTAGGGTTTCCTACTTGTACCCAACCTTGTGCTAGTTCATTCATTCCTCATTCTTCACATGGTATAGAGCAGGTTCCCTAGTGGGAACGCTTCCTTGGGCCCACCACTCAAAATTTCCTTTCTGACCGGAGCGCCAGTCGCTCCTGCCCGAGGCGCGCCTTTTGCCGCCCTTTCCAGGCCCCTAGTGGCCCCTAGCGGCCTCGTCGCCGCCCCTCACGCGGCCCCGTTACCGCCCCTACGCGGCCCCGTCGCCGCCATTAGCGGCCCCGTCGCCGCCCCTAGCGGCCCCGTCGCCGCCTCTCACCCTACGCGGCCCCGTCGCCGCCCCTACGCGGCCCCGTCGCCGCCCCTCCGCGGCCCCGTCGCCGCCCTTAGCGGCCCCGTCGCCGCCCCTAGCGGCCCCGTCGCCGCCTCTCACCCTACGCGGCCCCGTCGCCGCCCATACGCGGCCCCGTCGCCGCCCCTAGCGGCCCCGTCGCCGCCCCTACCGGCCCCGTCGCCGCCTCTCACCCTCAGCGGCCCCGTCGCCGCCTCTAAGGGGCCCCGTCGCCGACCCTAAGCGGCCCCGTTGTCGCCCACCCTACGCGGCCCCGTCGCCGCCCCTAAGCGGCCCCGCTACCGCTCCTAAGCGGCCCCGTCGCCGCCCCTAAGCGGCCCCGACGCCGCCTCCTACGCGGCCCCGTCGCTGCCACTACACGGCCCCGTCGCCGCTCCCCTCCCTAAGCGGCCCCGTCGCTGCCCCTAGCGGCCCCGACGCCGCCTCTACCGAGCAGCCCAGCAGCAGAGCCGCCGAGCCGCCCAGCAGCAGAGCCGCCGAGCCGCCCAGCAGCAGAGCCGCCGAGCCGCCCAGCAGCAGAGCCGCCGAGCCGCCCAGCAGCCGAGCCGCCTAGCCGCCGAGCCGCCCGACAGCCGAGCCGCCCAGCAGCCGAGCCGCCGAGCCGCCCAGCAACCAAACCCCCGAGCCGCCCAGCAGCCGAGCCGCCGAGCCGCCCGCAGCCGAGCCGCCCAGCAGCCGAGCAGCTGAGTCGCCGAGCCGCCCTGCCGTCGAGCTGCTACCAGTCCTACCGGCGCGCCCCGGCCCTACTTACTCGTACTGGTGAGCTCACTCCTTGCTAGACCTCTGCAGTCATGGCTACCCCCAGTGTTCTTACCTTTGACACTGAGGGTCGTGCTGTTGACTTTGAGGTCTGGGTTGATGACCTCCAATTGTTCCTCCAGTGCGATAGGGCAGACGGCCTCTCTCTGTTCGACCTCACCTCTGGTGCCTCCCTTGCCCCGCCTGCTACTGCTGACAGCACTGTTCGCTCACAGTGGGCGACACGCGATGCTGCTGCCCGTCTTGCTGTGCGTCGCCACTTACCGACCACTGAGCGTGCACACTTTAGCCAGTACAAGAGTGCTCAGACCTTGTACGACGCTGTAGTTGCACGCTACTCTTCCCCTGCCACTGCTGCACTGAGCCGCCTCATGCTACCGTACCTCTTCCCTGACCTTGCTGCCTTTCCCACAGTCGCTGACCTCATTACGCACCTCCGCACTAGTGACACTCGCTACCGCGCTGCGCTTCCTGCTGAGTTCTGCGCCAAGAACCCCCCCCCCATGTACATCACCCTCTACTACATAGTCACCCGGCTCCCTGACTCTCTTCGCTTAGTCAGGGACCACTTCCTCTCAGTTTGCCCCACCACTCTCACTGTTGACCTCCTCGAGGAGCGCCTCCTAGCAGCAGAGAAGAGCATAGTAGCTGTAGGAGCCTCTCGTGGTGACCCTCGCACCCCCGTCTTTGAGGGGTGTTCCCCCTCCCCCCTCTTGCCCTCTGTTGCTTCTTCTGCTGCTGCCGACCTCGTTGGTTTCTACGGGGTCGGCGCTGCGTCTGCCCCTAGCGGGAGACGCCGCACCGGCAAGGGCAAGGGGGGCAAGGGAGCGGGAGGGGCTAGCGGGGGCGGTGGAGGTGGTGGTGGAGGCAGTGGAGGGAGTGGGTGTGGTGGTGGGAGTGGTGGCGGGGGTGGCGGCGGCGGTGGCAGCAGTGGAGGCGGAGGAGGCGGCGGTGGTGGCGGAGGGAGCGGAGGCGGCGGAGGTGGCGGAGGAGGCGGAGGTGGCGGAGGCGGCGGAGGCGGCGGCGGCGGCGGTGGTGGAGCTGGTCGCGACTCTGCGCAGAGGAGTGGGTCCGGTGGTGGTCCGCGCCAGCAGCAGCAGCGCGGTCGTGAGACTCTGTCCCCTCAGCAGCTTCGTGAGTGGTACGCTGCGCGTCAGCACGGTGGGGGTACTGGTCCCTGCACTTACGTCCTCCGTACCGGCGACCGCGCTGGTGAGCAGTGCGGGGGCCCGCACTCCACCCAGCGCTGCTTCGGCCGCCTGACGGACGCGTGGCGTCACCAGTTCCCTGAGGCGTCAGAGATCCCTCGCTGGGGAGATCTGTCTAGGGCGGGGGTTGCCATC